GGCGGCGGCGCTCCCGGAGTCGCGACAAGGACGAGCGGCGGCGCTCCAGGGAACGCAGCAAGGACAAGGACCGGGACCGGAAGCGGCGAAGCAGCCGAAGCCGGGAGCGGGCGCGACGGGAGCGCGAGCGCAAGGAGGAGCTGCGTGGCAGTGGAGGCGGTGGCGACATGGCGGAGCCCTCTGAGGCTGGCGACGCGCCTCCTGACGATGGGCCTCCTGGGGAGCTGGGTCCTGATGGCCCTGACGGCCCCGAGGAGAAGGGCCGGGATCGTGACCGGGAACGACGTCGGAGCCACCGGAGTGAGCGGGAGCGGCGCCGGGACCGGGACCGAGACCGGGATCGGGAGCACAAGCGGGGGGAGCGGGGTGGGGAGCGGGGCAGGGATGAGGCCCGAGGCGGGGGTGGTGGCGGCCAGGACAACGGGCTAGAGGGTCTGGGCAACGACGGCCGAGACATGTACATGGAGTCCGAGGGAGGCGATGGGTACCTTGCTCCGGAGAACGGGTATTTGATGGAGGCTGCGCCAGAGTGAAGAGGGCCTCTCACCTGTTGTTTGGACGTGTTCCTAACCAGCCCCTTGCTGTCCTCCTCTTCCCCAACATTGGCCATCACCTAAGTTTGCCAGCCAAGCGTAGGAGTCTCCTTATTTGTTCTGGCCCCTTGGATTTAAAAATAAAATTAATTTCCTGTTGATGTTGGGCACCTTGGTTTCTTCTTCACCGTTGTTAAGGTCTTCCCCGGAAAGTTATCACCTGACTCGGATGACCCTACTTTGGTGTGTGTTTCAGGGTGTGCCTGGAACCTAAGGCTAGGGGTACCCAGGTATACCGGAACTGTTTAAATGGGGCGAGGAAGGCCATTGTGTGGGTCCTTGACCCCTTAGTGTTGGTCTGGCTCCCCCTGCCTTGTTTAAACCTCTTCCATGCATTGTGGGCTGTCCAGACTCCTAACTTGGCTGCAGTGGAGGGTCTTTATCAGATTCCTCAGTGGAAGCTGCAACTGTGAATGTGGGAAAGGGTAGCTGTCGTTTGAGTTGGAGAGCAGGAAACAGGGTGAAGAAACGAGAACCGGACAGAAGGATGAGAAGGCTGGGAAGAGCAGGAACGCCTCACAGGGCCAGGATGGAAAAGGGCCTGCAGCTGACGACAGCAGCTTCCCCATCTGTCTTTCTGCTCCATGCTTCCCAGTGGTAGCGGAGGAATAACAAGAAACAGAAGAGCTTCCATGAGCAGCGGAGGTTTCGGCACATGTCTGGATGAAAGATTAAGGTGGTGGTGAGAAGACCAGTCTGGTGACCACTTGAAAAGGGAGCCAGAGAGCCTTGCAGGACCCTGGAGAGGCTCAAGGCTGAAACTCCAGGTACAACAAGGTGGGGAGATGAGGTGGAATTTGAATGCAACAGTCCTTTGTGTCAGCGCTCAGGGTGCCTGGGAACTGGGCGTTGGCTGCCTAGAGTAGACCAGCCAGGATCTGCTTTGGTCTTTTAGAAGTTTCCCAGCCTCGAGGCACATGGCCTGATAGCCCAGCAGTATTCTGTCACATGACTGTACAGAAGGATCCCAGTATGCTTTCTGACTGCCTGGTGTTTATAAACACACAGCCAAAGATCGCGGGCATTTCCTGCAACAGAAGACTACCGGATAAATAGGCATATTTTCATAAATACTCCACATGTTGCAACTAGGCTTCTGGAATTGGCCATGAAGAATAGCTCATTTAAAGATTGGACAAGATATATGAACAACTTGTGAAAGACATTCAGGGGTAAACAATGTTGGTGAGACTTGAGGGGGTCTGATCCCTAAGAAAAGGCAAGTACACAGGTGAATTTTATATTGACATTTGCCAGTTTATCATGGAGGACTAGACTCAGAAGGTTGCAGTCTTCCACAGGGCTGGGTTCACAGAGGTTGCACCAGACAGCTGGGACCTGGTAAAGTTCCCACATTGGGCATTGGGCCCTCACCTACATGACATCTTTCTTTCAGGAGCTGGCCAGCTCCTAAGCTGCTCGTTATTGCAAGACCCAAAGCAGTACAGAGGCTAATGACCTGAGCAGAGTTCTCAGCAGCCATGTAGTTCTGGGGGAGATGGGTTGGGGTTCAAGGCCTGCCAAGGTGGAGCGGCTGTGCTTGAGACCCCAGAGTACCATGATATTGGAATAGGGCGGCAAGGGAAACAGACCAAGGCCTCGTCAGGTTTTAGGTGATCTGCCTGCCGGAAGAAAACCTGCGAAAGATATTCAGAGCCTCTTCCATTGTTAGTACACAGTGCTCAGCATCCACTCAAAATCATCAGGCGTGTTAAAAAGGGACTTGAATTACTGAAAACCAAGAGAAAAAATAGGCAATAGAAGCAGGCCCAGGCATGATTCTGCTGGAGTTAGCAGAAATTAAAATAATATGTTCACTAAATAAGAGGGAAAATGGAGAATTTTAACAGATCTGGAATCTTAATAACAATTTTTAAAACTGGGAAACAACATTAAGAATTTAGTAGGTTATTTGATAGTTGCTTAGATACTAGATAACCTCAACATACCTGTTAGACTAGAAGTGTGAGGGAAATAAAAGAATTAAGACGAATGTAAGAGAAATCTCAATCTTTTTAGGATGTTAACAAAATACATTTGACCAGAAGGCGGGATTTAAAACGACCCAGCTCCGCAAAGCAGTGAAGTCCCAGGATGGCAGTTTCTAGAGAGCACTTGGACCAGATGGGGGTCAGAGGACTGCCTAGGAGTGTTTGAGGATAAACAAAAAGACTCAGCAAGATACCTGTTGTGATGGAAAAATCGAGAATGTGATGAAAGGAACAAAAATAGAAATCACGGAAAAAAACAAGCTGTTCAAGAAAGGAAATGTAATCACAGCACACTACTCAGAAAGTACTTAGATGTGATGTGAGCACTTCATCGATCGATCTGAAAACTGGTACCGTGAAACTACCATGGGAAGGGGAGGGGTTGTAAGCAGAAAATCAATATGTAATAATTACAACTAAAATTGATAAGTTGAGAAAGCACGTTTCTTAGGTACAGAAGTAACTAGCAGATTTCTTTAGTTTCACTCACCTGATTGCTTCCTTTTCTGGCCATTCTTTGTCCTCTTCCTGACTTAAGTGCTAGGAATTTTGAGGACTCAGCCTCCGGTCCTCTTCATTCTATGGTCTCGTCCCCAGCATTCTTGTCCATTTCTATGGTTTTATTTACCATCTTTGTCTAAATTCTCGAAACTGCTTGCAAGCTTTGGATACTTTACAGCAGCGGTCCCCAAGCTTTTTGGCACCACGGGCCAGTGCTCCTATGAGAATGCACTGCCTGATGATCTGAGGCGGAGCTGAGGCGGTGATGTTGGTGCTGGGGAGCAGCTGCAGATACAGGCGAAGCTTCGCTTGCCACTCACCTGCTGCTGTGTGGCCCAGTTCCTAATAGGCCACAGACTGGTACCAGTCCATGGCCCAGGGATTGGGGACCCCTGTTTACAGGCTACTCGGATATTCAGATTTGAAGTCTCCACTATCTCCGGCCTAGACCAAGCAAAAGGCCCCACAAGCACGTTAATACCCCTCTCTACCTCCTGGTCCTCGTATGCAGTTGATCACTGAACGTCTACACATTTTCATATCTGTCCACCTATCCTCCATGCCTCTGCCCTGGTCCCAGCCATCACAGACGCTCGGACAGCCTTCTGATCAGTCCCCTGTCTCCACTCACATCCAGTCTAGTGGCCACACGATGGCCATAGTGATCTTCAGATACACATTTGAATATCACATTTTATTCTTTGGAATTACCATGAAGTCCAAAATTCTCAACGTGTGTGTGTCAACTCACAAGTCCAAGCATAAACTGCATCCTGCCCACGTTTTCACCTTCTTCACAAGTCACCCCAATACCTACTCTCCTGTCCAGCCATGTAGACTCTCTGCCTAGAAAGTGATCCTTGCCCCCATGTTTTGACGATTGTACCTCCAAGGACTCCATGTCGATGTCCCTCTTAGGTCATGACCTCCCCACTCCCAATTCTGACCACAGTTGTAAGCTGGTCGTCTGCCCCGCTCCACCAGAGGCTAAGCTCCGTGAGGCAGTGTGCCCTGCTCGCCATCGTGTCCATCGTCTTGGGCCCAGATGTTTAACACGTTTGTCCAGTGAACGTGGAAAGAAGGGATAGAGAAGGGACAGACAGGTGTGGCTGGGAGGACAGATAGACAGATGGAAAGAGCTGCAGAGAGGCTGGAATAGGATCGCAAACAGGACAGACGCTGGGGGCGGAGGGTGCCGCAG